AGCCTTTTCATCAACATTGAAAACTGTTAGCAGATCAATCAGCTTTCGCTAAATTAGGCTTTGTCATCTTTAAGTCTTCTAATGGCTAACTACATTTCAACACCTTCGGGCATTTATCTGTATATTGAGCCTCAAAAACTTGTAATTTCACAAATAAAATCCATATTAATCTCATGCGGGGGGAGGGGCGGCAGCAAAAATCAGAAGGAAAGGAGGATCAGAAAACTTATTGCAGCAGAGTGGGTTGGAAATTGATATTTGTTATTTGATACAGTATTAATTGTTTTTTTTTTATTTCCTACAGGCTCTGATATGTTAACAAAATTTGAAACCGAGTTTCTGAAAAAAAAAATCCCTAAAACGTGAACAAAAATCTGTGAGGTTGCTCTATATGTTTGGACACCTGCAAAGTGACAGAAAATCTGTGTAGATTATGGACAATCCATACAAGTCGACATGTATGTAACTGAAAAACATCATCAGGTTTGTGTCCGTCCCACTAGTCTTCAACTGGAAGGAGACAAAGACGTGACGCAGACTGACAGTCGTTTTACAGGTTATTGATTAGCTGTTTGTGTTAGCTTCTGCTAATTGAGACAAAGACGTGACGCAGACTGACAGTCGTTTTACAGGTTATTGATTAGCTGTTTGTGTTAGCTTCTGCTAATTTTTACTTGTTTTGCTGATTAGTGCATTCGCTTTTTTTTTAAACATGTTTAGATGTTTATTGTTAGCTTCCACTAATTAATTTTTATATATTTAGTGGTTTACCATTAGCAAAAGTATATTTTTAATTAGCAGATTATGAATTAGTGAAGCTAACTTTTTGGTTAGCTGTGTCCACCACTGCTGGTTACTAATGATGCCACAGAACACTACTATAAAAATAAAACTTGCTTTATTTATTTTTTATCCTCAACTCACTCTTGACCTTGTCTTCTCTTCACAGATYATTGTGACAGATCCACACGGTGCTTCTTGACAGACAGATCCATYCAGGCCCCACCTCCTACCATGACGGGGGACGTTGTCCCAGCTGCTCCCATCTCAACCGTTGTGGAGTCCGTGGATCTGGAGTGTCCCATCTGCTACCAGGAGTACAACCAGCACAACAAGTGCCCCCGGATGCTGGAGTGCCTCCATGTTTTCTGCTCAGARTGCCTCCAGAGGATCCAGCTCAGCCCCTGTGACCCTGCAGACACACGCAGCCAGTTGGCCCTCCCCTGTCCACTTTGTCGCCATTTAACCCCGTTGGAAAGGGGCGATACCCTTGCCTTACCCTTCAATTCCCGCATCCTGTCCAGGCTGCCCCTGAGGGCCCTGCGGACGCCCCCCACCGCGGCCTCCTTGGCTTCCCACATGGCCACGGTCACCCAGAGGGTGGTGCTATCCCTGGAGCGGGGCGGCAGCAGCAGGGACAACCAGCTCATCCTCCTGCCCACCGTCAGCCTGCAGGTGCAGCAGATGCACCCGGGTCGGCAGTACGGGCCAGCGCCGGGCCTGGTGGGCGAGGAGGAGGTCATCCAACAGAGCAAGAGGACACTGATGTGCGTGCAGCTGCTGGCCGCCATCTTCTGGGTGCTGTTCGTCATCACCTGCGTGGTCACCGTGGTGTTCGGACCACAGCTCTTCAAATGGAAGTCCTGATTTTCTGAACAGTTTGAAAGAAGCAAGGAGGACAGACAGCAGTTCTTTCAAATGTATCAAATCAAAGGTGGCAGCTATTTCTGTCTTGTTTATCAGCAAAATATGTCATGAAAAACAGCATGGATTTTAACCAAACTCTTAGACGGTAATCGAGGATCCACAACTGATCAACTTTTGGACTCAACCCAATTTAAGATGGCCGCCACACTATACAATCTTAGTACACCCAAAAATGGCTTAGTTCTGGTCATTTTTGTACATAATGAGCTAAAATTTGTRTGGTTTTAACTGAGTCATCCCCATCCCCATCATATACTTAAAGCACAAACATGTTTTTTTTTCCGTACATGGTTCATTCTTTTGAGGAAACCTGTAGTTTGATTTCATATTTTTTTTTATAAAGTGTGATTTATTAAACTTGTAGTCATGTTAAATGAATCTTATTTCCTAAAATACCTCAGTACATTGATGTTTGATGCTATAAATGAATCTAGAGCGCCCTCTAGTGGTTTGAAAGAAAACAGACAATGTTTGTAAAAAAAAAGGCCATTTTTTCTTTAAAAATTAAGTTTCTCTGATTTTTATTTCTTTTATGTTTTATTTGTATTTTATAACATGATCTTTGAGGTAAAGGATGATCAATATTTTAAATGCTCTTTAAACCAGACCAAATATGTTACTCCAAACTGAAACTCACTCTGTAACTCTCTTTTCTTTTATTGATGACAATTATTCCAAGATAGAAAAAAATAATATGCAAAATGATCCTTTTGATTTCCCTTTTCTTTCTTTAAGCTAATGTGTTTCTCTTGTATTTGGTATGTTTTTAACTGATGTTTTTTTTTAAATCCTCTAAATCATAATAAAAAAGAATTACATAATAATTATCATCATGCATTGAGGAAATGTAAATTCAGACAAGTTTTTCCCTGTTTATGGTTTGGCTTTTACCTGTAGAGTTCATGCTTGTGACATTATTGCAAATCACGGTTTTTATAAAACTAGAAATTGAGTTGTTTCATCAGAGAAACCTGCTTCATTCCTGAAAACTCACATCTGTGTGGGATGTAGCCAGCTTCATCTTTAATTAATTAATTAATTACCCAAGGGAGAATAAAGTAYGACGTAAAAGTACCGTTCATTGACCTCATCCAATGTTATCTCTGCCAAAATCGAAGAAAAAAAATCACCAGATAAATGTAAAAAAAATGCAGTTGCATTCATCAAAATTAATAGCGTGGGTTTGTTTATATCAAATAAATTCTACCCYTACCCACAATGCTGTGTGTGCAGAAAACTATGAAATAATATATCATATTAAAAGTTTTAATTGTGCACGTGTTGGTATGACGGAGTATTGGGGCCACATGAGATTTTTTTTTAAATGACAACAATAAAATCATAATGAGGAAAATTTTTCATCAGATGAAACCATAATGTTATGAACACAAAAACCCAACTAAACTCACAAGATACTCAATATTTCTTATTTTAACACAGAGGTACAAGTTCTCATAATATCATGACTTAATTCTTATATTATTATGGCTTTATTCTGGTAATATTTCAATTTTGTTCTAGTTTTATTTTGATTTCATTCTTGTTTTATGTCTCATATATATATATAC